CAAACCACACACCTCTGCTCTGAGCCCCTTGTCACACACCCCAACCCTTACTCTTGCACCGCTCCACACACACACACACCCCTGCCCTGAGCCCCCACATCCCCAAGCTCCTGCCCTGACTCCTGCACCCCCCTACATCACCACCCTCTGCCCTGAACCCCCCCAACTCCTTGCCCTAAGCGCCCCACATTCTACCCCATACATTTCTTAGAGGTTCTGCCCTAGCTCAACCACCCCCAGCCAATTCCCTGCTCTGAATCCATGCTGCTGTTTGCTAAAATGCAAATCCTTCTATTCCTGCCGCCCCCCCCCTCTTGCTAACGAATGGCCTCTACTCATCAACTTGGAGTCCTGAGTAGAGCTGTTAGCTTGTGTTTACTAAGACTTGTCTGGTAAATGCATCAGAGAGTTTATGTGGATAACTTTACATATAATGTTGTCACATACATTTCATTAATCAGTGAATTATCAATTTTAAATGATACGTCACAAGGCCTCTTTTATACAAAGATTACCATACAACTCTAACATTGATTCTAAATTGATCTGTTAAAATGGTTTCCCCCCATGAATTGAATTTGCCCCACAATAAATATTTTTTTAAATCAAGTAATGAGATTCTTTTCTAAAAGTATGTTTTACATTAGAAAAAAATTAAGCTAATTCTGAAGTGCTTTGTAAGAGTGGGGCCTTAGGGCCAGATTTTTAAAGGTACTTAGCTGCCTAACGATGCAGATAGATGCCTAGTGGGATTTTCAGAAGTATTTAGGTACATAACTTATATTGAAATCGGTGCACATGTGCTTTTGAAAATCCCATCTTGCATCCCAAAATGAATCTAGGCACCTAAAAGCCTTTACAAGTCAGATCCTTACTCTCTGTCTCCACCATCTCGAAAACCCTAAAAGCAACTCTGTGTTAAGCAAGATTTGAACATGGTTGTCTGGGGTGTCCTGTCTTTTGTTGGGCTAGCAAGCCTACTATTTTATATGTTAATGATGTCACGGTTTTCATCATGTTATATTTTGAAGGTTCTGTGAAATATAAGTGTACAGTCTCTTTAAGTTTAAATTAATGTTTCCATTTAAAAATAAAGGGCCAGACATTTATAAAAATACAAAGCTGAATCAGAAAAAGTAAAATGATTAGCTTAAATATTTATCTTTTTTTGAAAATTATTTTTATATTAAAAATAAAAGGAACAGAAATATGTAAAGTTTGATCAATTTTTAAGGTCCAGGATAGAATTGAAATGATAGAAAACGTTGAAACAGAAGTGACAGTGAAGTGGAGAAAAATGGAAGACCCTGCAGAAATTTCATATGCAAAGCCATGTCTGGATAGGTGAGTTCACAAAAAAGCTTGTTAGTATTCCTCAAGTGTTACCATTTACAGTTTTAGTTTATCATTAGATTTCCCATGATTCCATTGTTGTGCAATCTTTTGTCCTGGTTGATTTTTAACCTTCAACCTGCATTTCATTGGTGTTGTCTGTATTTAGGGCAAGATTGTTACTTCCTGTATGTTTCCCTGAAGAAGAGTAAGGAAGCATAAGGCTTCTCTTTTATTCCTATGTACTGTCTACCTGTATGTTTGGTAGCACCACAGAGAAGAGAAAGAGCCACTATAGCTGTCTGTGCTACCTGCATAGAAGGAGTGAATCAGCCAGCACAGCTGAGTCAGTGCAGAAGGAGAAGCTATCTTCACAATTGTCAAGGACAGGAAAAGATTACTTCTCTGCCAGAGCAAGGGAGAAATTAGGGATATGTTGTAGCTCTGAGTTCCAGTCTGCTTCTGCGGTGGCTCATCTAAACACTGTCACTTACTCAAGGATTATGGCAAACCTCCAATTTGAATGTATAGTTTTCAAAGTACTTTGGGATCTTTCAAGGGCGTGTGTAAAATATTATCATAGTTCCATTTTTGTGTGTCAGGGAATTTCAGTTTATTAAGAATATAAAAAATAACCTGTAACTGTTCTTCCTCAAATGATTACACATGTCCATTCCACTTCAGGGATGCATAAAGCCAATGCACTGAATAGGGAGAGGATTTTCTCATAGCAAATATGAGTAGGGTGGCATACATGCCCTCTGCTTTCTCATGTTTCCAGATGCTGGTATAAAGGGGCAGAGCTGCCAGATCCTCTGTCAGTTGGTGCTCCAGATCTCTAGCTCCTTCCCTGTTGTCAGTATAGTAGAGGTGGCTGGTTCCTGACCCTAAGTAGGCAATCTTCAGGGTTCCACCTGCATCTGGGTAACAGCCCTCAAGAAGGGCTGGTGTGGGAACCAGGTCTTCCTTTCTTTCAGAGCCCAAACCATGGTCTTATGGGAAGGAACCTTGTCAGGGTGCTCACTGTAAAGTCTAAGTTAAAGAATATTTGGGCTTTATAAAGGGCTCAGGATGGAGTCCAAAACACAGAGAGGAAGCTCCTGGGCAGAAAGTTCCTCAGAGGAGCTGGCTAAGAATCTACTTCCAGAAGTGTTTTCCGTTAGTGGAAAAAAAATACACACAAAAACCAACCAACCCAGAACACAAAGAAAGAGTGAAAGCTCCAGGCAGGGAGTGCTTGCAAGTTACGCTGAGTTAGCCCAGAAGAGACTGCTCAGCTTTAAGCCAGTGGTTCTCAACCAGGAGACCCATACTCTGGGGATACACAAGTCTTCCTGGGAGTGCATCAGTTCATTTAGATATTCGCATAATTTTACAAGGGTACATAAAAAGTACTAGTGAAGTCAGCACAAACTTAAATTTCATTCAGACTATGACTTGTTTATACTGCTATATATACACTATACACTGAAATGTAAGTACGATTGACTTAAATTCATTATTTTTTCATTTTACCATATTTCAGTAATAGGCTGTGTCTAGACTACATCCCTCTTGACAGAGGGATGTAAATTAGACACGTCAAAATTGCAAATGAAGCAATTTGGCGAATGGTGAAAAAGCACCATTTTGAAAGTAAACCACAATCTAGACATGGTTCTTTCAAAAACGGCAGGCTTTTTTGAAAGATCCAGGTTTACAGGATCTTTCAAAAAAGCCTGCCGTTTTCGAAAGAACTGTGTGTAGACCGCGGTTTTACTTTCAAAATGGCGCTTTTTCGAAAGAGCGCCATTACGCAATTATGCAAATGAAGCACGGGATATTTCAATCCCCGCTTCATTTGCAGTTTCGATGTGTCTAATTTACATCCCTCTATCGAAAGAGGGTTGTAGTCTAGACACAGCTATAATGTCCTGTAATGCTTTTGAAACAGAAGCACAGACATAACTGATTCAGCACCAGGATGACAAGGTTGCTTCAAGGGTGAGTGCCCACCATTATACTATGATATACAGAAGGACCAACTAGATGAAATATAATGATTCCTTCTGACCTTTGATTGTAGAGCTGTTTGAGAAATGATTTTTGTTCCCATGAAGAGTTTCAGTAAAAGCACAAATTTGGTTTTTCTTACTTTTTTTTTTTATAAAGAAAAAATGTTAAGGTTTTTGTAAAAAACAAAAACAAAAAAAACAACAAAAAAAACAACCCTACCCTCCCCAACTGGTTTTCAAGATTTCTGTTTTTTTGATGAAAACCCAAAACTTCAAATCAAAAGCAAACCTAGGGGTTAAACCCTAGCTATGGTATATATTTTGCAAGCCATATGTAATATAAAAATTGAATGAAACTGTGATAAGTCAGATCCTCCTATCTGGGATGCCACCTTTTAGGGTTTCACTGGGCCCCTCTCCTGCTTCATCAACCTGTATTCCCTCTCCTGGCTTTGCTGAATTATACTCTCTGGTCTCTTGCAGCATACACACACAGGCAAACACATACTGAAGTCAGCTCTGTGTGAGAGAACTCACCCAGCACTTACGTACACCCTTCTGGGGAACAAACCCCAAATTATGTTCTCATTTGCTGTATAGAAAGAAATGCACAGCAGAAGCTCATAAAAATTCACCCTCCCTCTCATTGTGGAGAAAGATATGCACAGCTTCTTCCTCAACCTTCCTCCCCTCCAAAGATATGAATTGCACAAACGGAGTTATGTTATAAACAAGAAATAATACTATCAACTATGAAAGTAAATTTGAAGTTGTTAGAAGAGAGAACAAACAGAACAATGCAGATTACCAGGGTAAATAAACTGAGCTTAACATGCTAGATAGGTAAAATACAAATTAGCAGATTCATCCTGAGAGATAAACAGGCTGACAGATTCTTAAGGCACAAATTGTGTTGGCTTTTCCAGGTTTTCTTACACAGACAAAAAATCCTTCTAGACAGGAACCATCACTTCCCATGGTTCAGGCTTTGTTCCTCAAGTGTACTGTTGTAGGGAGAGTGAGGTCCCTCCATGATATCAATGTTCTCCTTTTATACCTACTTCGCTCTTGCTGGAAAGCAATTTTGCTGTTCTCTGGGTCAAACAGTTCCCATTGTGTAGTGCTGTCTCTGAGAAGTTTCTATTCTACATAGTTTCTGGGGTAATCCTTGTGCGTGTGTGTATTTCTTCAATAAGCCATTAACATTGTGTGCTTTGTGCTGTTGTACCAAAAAGGCTTCTTGTGCTTGTTTAGAACCTTGCAGCATATTTCAGTAACACATACATGGCCACATTTCATAATTTCACATGCAACACTAACATATAATCCAATGAGATATTAATGTTTAGCAACTCAAGGCTTTTCGAATTATACCTCACAAGACATACTTTGTACAAAACATGTCCTAATTTCTTGACCATGGTAAATATTGGGGTGTCAGGATGTCACTTGGTTAAAGTAGTTGCTATTTATATAATTGCTTATAGTGACTGTCACAGACTTCACTCCCTATATATTTGGCTTGTTTTTAGAACTGAAACTGAAAATATTCACACTGGAAGCAAGTCAAACGATGACTTCAGAACGGTAAGCCACAGAAAATACATGATGCATAAATACCTTTTTTTACAGCCAGATTTTCAGAATTCCATGTATGAAAGCACATATTAGGGCTATCAAGCAATTAAAAAATTGTGTAATCGCACAATTAAAAAAAATAACTGCAGTTTTACTCAAAAGAGGCGAGATCAAAATGCAGTATAGAACTTTTAGGCTATGTCTACACTGGCAGGTTCTTTCGCAAAAATATCTTGCGCAAGAACACGTCCACACTGCCATGTGCTTTTGCGCAAGAGCATCCATGGCCGTGGGGACGCCCTCTTGCTCAAGAAAGCTCTAATGGCCATTTTAGCCATAGGGCTTTCTTGCGCAAGAAGCCCCTGCTGCGCATCCACACTGCCCTATTGCACAAGAGCTCTCGCACAATAGAGCTTACACTTGTTAGAAAAGAGCATAGCTCTTGTGCAACAAGCCCTCTCTTCCGACGCCGTACTGTAAATCTTCTTGCGCATGAGCAGGCAGGCAGTGTGGACGCTCTGCGGGTTCTTGCACAAGAATCCTGCCAGTGTAGACATAGCCTGCCACAAACAAGGTCTCTGTGTGGATACTTCTGCTATCCACTAAGGCTAAGTACAGAGTCAATATATGTTTCAACCTGCTGCAAACTAAGTGAATAGACGGGCTCAAAGTTAGAGCTGTAAAATGGCCTCTTGACTCTCAGGTGAGGAAAGGGTTGCATAGTTGTACAGAGTTGAGTCCTTTTGCCTAGTCCTGTGCTGAGGGAGGCGCTAAAGAGGAGTCACAGCCTCATTGTCACCTATTAGAAAATATCTTTCAGTTTTCAAAAAGGGAAGAGTGAGTGACCACAGGTAATTCTGGACTTTTTTCCAGTCACACTGGCCACCTGGGCTTCCAGCTGGAACTCGAATTGGAGCCCATGGCTGCTGTGTTCCGACTGGGGTAAGGAAGGAGAAAGTGGCCAGAGGAGCAAAGACCTGAACTTTTAAGACCTGAACTGGAACTTGAAGTATCTGGTTCCATTTATGATGGTGCAGCTATATAGAGATGTAAATAATGCAGAAGTCTTTGCGTTAGGTAGAACTCACTCTCTCCTTGTTGGGGAGGATTTCAGACTTTTTAAATTTTGTTTATTATTTGTTTTCTGTAGCATCAGCTCTGTCTCTCTCTTTTTTTTTTTTTAAAAGCAAGCAGAGATTCATATATTTTAAGGCAGAAATTGTGATCATGTAGTCTGACCTCCAATCTAACAGAGACCATAGAACTTCCCCCACACAATTCCAAGAGTATATCCTGATTTAGTTAGTGGAAGAGAATCCACCATGCTCCTTGGTAAATTATTCCATTAGTTAATTATTTTCACAGTTAAAGATATGTGCCTTATTTCTAGCAGCCCAGGACGGCTCTTTGCACAGAGAGAGATACTACAGGGTATTGGCTCAGCGAAGAAGAGACCCCTTTTACTCATCCCTCTCCAAATCAGTCAGAAGAGATTCAGCAGAAATACAATAATCCTGCAGCCCTTAGGAAGGACTATAGTCATATGAGTTTATGTAAGTATGAAATTATCAGAATGTTTATTATTTATTGTGCTGGAATTGGTCACATTGATTATTTGAAAGCTATGTTTATTACATTGGTTCAGCTTTTCCTTTAAAAACAATTTTGGTCTAAAGTAACTGCTCTGCTCCCTTAGTCCAACGGTCTCTTCTTGCTCTTATTGGTTGTAGGGGAACCTGTGGTATATAACATTGAACAAGGCACAGAAACCACTCAGAAAGAAGGTAAAATGCAACTGCAACCACAAATCATCCCCACTAGACCACAAGAAAACGTAGAGTCAAAAAGAGGAGGTTTTCTAGAGCTGCTGAAAAGGTACTGTAGTAGCTTTAAGACAGATACACATTTATCCATGGCTGGGAGCAGGAGCAAATGACCATTAATGAGTTCATTATAGCTGAATGAACTATGGTTGAGGTTGGGACTTGCTTATTGTTTAAATAGTTGTTTTTCCCCCCAATTTCTCTCAATCCACATGCTTAATGAACAGGGATGTTAGCTATCAAGTAACAGAATACTTCAGTAACTGCATGAATTCTTATCTGTTACTCATCTATTCTATAGTCCCTGGGGGCAGGACTAGCAGCAAGTATGCTCTGGCCCCACTTCCAAGCAGCCCCCTGCAACCTCACACTGCAGCAGCGCGGGGTGGCAGGTGGGAGCCAGTCCGTAAGGAAAGCAGGTTTAAAAACCAGCTTTCCTCGTGGACGGGCTGCCTGCTGCCCTGCACTGCTCCCTCTGATAGAGGCAGCAGTGCAGGCTGGTGGTAGCCCCAGTCAACAGGGGTATTGACTACACAATTATCCACAGGGCTCGACAAATACACTTGCCCGTGGGGAGATTTTACCAGTTAGCGAGTGCAGGAGCAGACTGGCCTGGTGGGCTGTTGTGATGGGCTGGCCGAAGCCCGCACTACGGGCGGCGCAGCCCTGTCTGATTTGCCAGCCGGTGGAGGAGCAGAGCGTCGCCAGGAAGGGGGAAGTGCGGCGATTCTCAGCGCCAGGCTGCCTGTGTGCAGCTCCGGTGTGAGAAGGCGGGGTATGAGCCAGAGGGCGGGACACTGGCAGATGCCAGGACGCTGGCGTGACGTGGCGTCCTGACGTCATGGCCGGCGACGGCTGTATTAAAAAAGGCTCCGGCAACATACGTGATGCAACATGCCAGGCCCAATAAGGGTTACTTTAGACATGATAATGACTCACCCACTTTTCGATTCCCTGACTTGGAAGTTGAACCTGTAGGAGGTCTGCTCAGAGGTTCCCTTTACAACACCACAATGTTTGATGTCACTGGTCATGTACACCTCAAACTTGGGATGGGGCATCCAGCTGGGGAACCTCAAAATTCAGAGTCTTTAGTCTCCAGCTGATCTAATGCTCCACATCAGTGTCAGAGAGCTAATGTCAGGGAGCTATGGGCAATTTGCTCAGCTTGTCAGGCTTTCCAGTTGTGCCTGTTGGGACACAGCATGTCAGTGATGATGACAACACAACTGCAATGTTCTTTATTAACAAACAGGAATGGCATGCTCTTCTCCCCTGTACTGAGAAGCCCTTCTCTGCTCTGGGACTTCTGTATAGAACATTTGATTCTTCTACAAGCCACATACCTTCCAGGAGTACAAACAAGATGGCAGACCACCTCAGCAGATTATTTCACGGTCATGAATGGTCTTTTAGCTCAGATGTTGTGAATTCAAATCTTCCAGCACTGGGACTTTTCTCCAAATTGACCTATTCTTCATGAGACATAACAGGAAGTGTCAGCAGTTCTGCTCCTTCCAGAACCACAGCACAGGATCAACCATGGATATGTTCCTCCTCTCATGGGCAGACCATCTACTATGCACCTTCCCATACTGCTCATTCAAAGTCCTCCTCAAGATCAGGAGGGGATGAGCACATGTCATAGTTATCACAACAATTTGGGCTTATCAACACTGGTATACATCCCTTCTGAACATGTCAGTATGGGACCCGATAACTCTTACCTCTCTGTCCAAATTTCTGATTCAGCACTATGGTTGTCTTCACCATCCAGACCTGGAGTCACTACACCTTTCAGCATGGAAGCTGCATGGCTGAACCCAGTAGAACTGTCTTGCACAGACCATGTCCGACAAGTTTTCCTTGGTAGCAAGGCTACATACTTTGTCAAGTGAAAGAGATTCTCCATATGGTCAGCACAGTATGGTAATTCTCCAATGCTGGCTTATGTGCCTTTCATCTTGGATTGTCTTTATCGCTTTAAGCAGCAAGGACTGTCAATGCCTTATATAAAGGTCCACTTAGCAGCCATATCAGCATTCTACCAGGGGCACAAGGTTGTTCTATGTTCACCAACTTGATAGTAGATTTCTAAAGAGCCTGGATAGACTGTACTCCCAGGTCTGCTAACCTGTTCCTGGGATCTTAATATAGTTCTATTCAAGCTTATGGGGACCCCATTTGAATCAGGGGCCACTTGCTCTCTGCTCTACCTTACTTATAAGGTATTTTTCTAGTTACAATAACCTCTGCTAGTAGGGCACCTGAGCTGAGGGCTCTCACGTTGGAGCCCCCTTTTTATACAGCCATCTATAAAGACAAGGTGCAGCTCTGCCCACATCTGTCCTTCCTGCCAAAGGTGGTTTCCAGTTTCCATATGGGCCAAGACATCTTTGTGCCAGAGTTTGACCCCAAACCTCACTCCAGTGCTTGAGAACAGAATCTCCATTCTCATGACCTGCGTCTTTTGCCTTCTACATTGATAGAACAAGACCATTCAGGAAATCACCTCAGTTATTCATGGAGGACAGAATGAAGGGCCAGCCTGTTTCATCTCAACACATCTCTTCATGGATAATATTTTGTATCTGAGAATGTTATGGCCTCTTGGATATATCTTCTCCCACCACCACCACCAGGTTTCCTCCATAGTGTTCCTCGGCCAGATCCCCACCCTGGAGATCTACAGGGCTATGACCTGGTCCTTGATACTTACCTTTGCTGTATACTATGCAGTTACACAGAAGTCTAGAGATGACGCAGCTGTTGGGCAGGCAGTGGTCCATCAAGTTTAGAACTCTGACCCCACCTCCTATATTTTGGCTTCTGAGTCAGCTGTTTGGAATGCACATGAACAGGTACTTGAGAAAAAACAGCTACGCACCATTGTTGTTCTTCAAGATGTGTTGTTCATGTCCAATCCAATACCCACTCTCCTTTTCTGTTGGGCTACGTCTACACTGGCCCCTTCTTCAGAAGAGGCATGCTAATTTCGAACTTTGGAATAGGGAAATCCGTGGGGGATTTAAATATCCCCTGTGGGATTTAAATAAACATGGCCGCTGCTTTTTTTCCGGCTTGGGGAAAAGCCGGAAAAGAGCGTCCAGACTGGCGCGATCCTCCGGAATAAAGCCGTTTTCCGGAGGATCTCTTATTCCTACTTACTTCCCAAGCCGGGAAAAAAGTGGCGGCCATGTTTATTTTAATCCCGCGGGGGGTAG